TTTACTACTTCTTTAAATGCATATTTAAGCTACCGCTGATAAAATGCATGATTGATCAATATTTATTGAGATTTCTTAATGTTCTACTGATTTTAAAGCGTTATGAATAAACAAGGGAAAAGATAGTTCATTTGTTTGGATGTTTTATACGGCTATTTTAGAAGAAATACTAGGTTAAGTGTTATAAATTTAATAATTTTTATTAATTCAAAATTATAATTCTTTGTTTAAAAAATATAATCATTTTATAATTAGTTACTTCAGGAAATCTATTTATAATTATTAAAGCTACCTATTTTCTTAAGATATTTATTTTCTTAAGAAAATAAAAAATTTAATTAATTTACCATAATATCTAAAGTGATTAATTCCTGTTAAAATTATATATAAAAAAAGAAAAACAAAGTTTTAGTATTACCAACACGAAAAATCTTGATGGTTTTTCATTGATGAACCAACATAAGTGTGATGGTTACCATGTTGAATTCCAAACATAAGCCGTCATACAGCTTGATGGGACCATCAAATGTGCCCAACATCTTAAGTTAGGAATAAACACCTTTTCATGTTAGGTCATTATAGCATACCCAACATAGTTTGATGACTTTTTATAATGGGCCAACACAGCATACTCGGTATAGTATGATGAATTTTTATACTGGACCTGCTACTTTTTACACAAAAAAAATCCATCATGATCCAACATTATTTATTGATTATCATTTTAATTTTCAATCACAAACCATCATGCTTTTTGTTAGGACCATCAAGACAGCCCACCATCCCGGTATGGAAAATTATCTAGCTTTATGTTGGATCAACACTAAATCACAACTTAGTTTTTATAGTGAATCAATAAAAAAATCCTAATTCTTTGATGGTTACCTCAACAACAGTAACCACTTTTGTAATATCATATTTGGACACTTTTATGCTGATAAGCAAGCCATCATGAACCAATATAAATTTACGGATTTCATTATCATTACAAATATAATTGCCATTAAGTAAAATGAAAATATTTTTGTAACAAGAGGTTATTTCAAGATGGGTTAAATTAGTTATAATAAGCCATTTCAATTTCTGATTGTTGGTAAATAAACTAGCAATCAGCCTAATGACAAAAATTGCACAATTTTTGTCAATTTTTTTCAATTCAAATCAACCAATGTCAAAGATTGTTCACTGTACAATTGTACAGTGAAGTAGTGAAATTTACTAAATTGTTCACTCATACATGTAATTCATTACCCTTTCAATGATATTAATTTTATTATGATCCAGATAAAATAATCATATTAATTTCATTATGATTATTTTTAAAAATACGAATGACCTCATTTCTCAAGTTACATTCGATCTAAAGCTCAAAGTTGACACTTTTTATAATTTTGTCGTATGCATACACTGTTAGAATTTTCCTTTGGAAATTATGGTAAAATAACAGGCAGCAGGTCCATCCGATTAACCGTTAAGTTTACGGTAAAGTACTTTTTTTAGTTTCATGGTTCTGAAAACGTTTACAACAAGTACGTTCCGTATAGTTCAAAACTATACGGTTTTTTAACCATTTACAACTAGCATGGTTTCGAAACCGTGAAAAGGGAAATTAACTCGACATTGGAGCTAGGATTTTCGTTAAGTAATAGCCATTGGAAAGAACAAGGCACAAATTGGGAGTGCATAACACTGAAAACTCTTCATGTGTGAATAGGAATGGATGAATGCTTGTGTCAACGTTGAGACTCAAACCTCAGTTCTGTCGGTCATGAGACAGACACATTACCTTACTCCGCTATAATATGCACACAGTTGCAAGGAACTAAGTGGCTTGCTTAGGTGGGCTTAGTTTGTGAGGTAGAATTCTGTTTTTTTTAAACCGTATAGGGTAAAAGCAGTTAATGAACGCATTTTTTCCCTGTCATCAGCTTGATTACCATCTTGCTCATGGTTATTTGAATATTTTGCTTAACATATGGTAAAATAAAAAGTACATAAAATATTATTTAACTATTTTTCTAAGTAATTTTTAATAGCGCGGACAGAAAGAAAATTGCAGTGATTATTTAGTTTTAATTTCAAATTACTAATACTTTTTTTAATGTGTAGTAATTTCACCTGTCAAAGACTTTTAGATCCATTTAAAAATACCCTAAAATATCAATCAAAAAAGTCTCATTTAAATTAATTTAAAATCATATGTACTATGTGCATTCCTAATTGCAGGCAGGTTTTGAAAAAGGTGATTAAAATTTTGGTATTTTAACATTACTGGTATGGTGGAAAAAATTTTAAAAGATTCCTCCATATCTTTGAAAATAACTCTTTATGTACTAGTTATTATATACTATATTATTTTAATGTTAATTTAATACTTACATATAAAACTTATAATACATAAAATATTTTTTTAAGTGTTTAAAATTATAGGGAAGAGTCGGGTAGCCCCGTCCACAGTCAATTTCATATATATAGAATATTTTTTCAAGTCAATGAGCCATCGGACATTAATTATTATATTAAAAAAAGATTATTTTCAAAGTTTCAAGTATTTATGCAGCTGTTAACATTGTAAACAATAGTTTTGAAAATATGTTGAATACAGTAGTCATGAAATTAAGAAAAATTGGTTGAATGTTTCGATTAAACTTCATTTTAATACTAAAAAAATAATTTTTTCCATACATACAGCATCAAAGTATGTAGTTTTAAGCTTAATTTGCACGAAGAAAGAAGTTTATATCTGAAAAATTGTTCGAGTAATTACAAATTTACAAAAAAATTGGATTTCGGGTAGCCCCGCTCACATGAATGTCGGGTATCACAGCCCGATTTTATTTCGTCAATAAATCTAAGGTTGCAAAGATTATTATTTTATTGCTTCATATTTGAATGTTATATGCATTTTCAACAACAAATATTGCTGTTATTAAATGATAGAATTCATTAAAAGTATATAAATATGCAATAAATAAAATAATTTTGTGATAAAAATGATAAATGAGGTTTATCTATTGTCAATACATTGGTCACTTTCATTTACACCTGAAAAAACAGTCAAAAAACATAATTTTTGTAACTGAGCGGGACTACCCGACGCATTTTTAAAAGAGCTGAAAAACATGTTTTTTTAAATTTCTATTTTTTTAAGTTAAACTATTCTTTCTTAGTTTATTCTTTTTGCATTATTCAATTAGATGGTAAAACAATAGAAACATGCAAAAATATTGATTATTACTTAATATTATACAGAAATATAAGCAATACTCCTTAAGTGGGCTGGGCTACCCGACTCTCCCCTACTTAAATATCCTCCATATCTTTGAAAAAAATTCTTTATGTACTAGTTATTATGTACTATGTTATTTTAATGTTAATTTAATACTTACATATGAAACTTATAATACATAAAATATTTCTTTAAGTGTTTAAAATTTACTTAAAAAATTAATTAATATTTTTCAATTTTTAAAAACAATTAAAAACAGAAATTGTTTTTAAACAAAAAAAAAACACAATTTACTCTATTAATCTAAGTGATTTAGAAGATTTTTTTTTAAATATTCTTTATGATCTAAAGGAAAGACGAAATGTAAAACGTTACAGAAACATCTCTTTCTCTTAATTAATATTTAATGAGCTTCCGTAATTTCCTATTGATATTTAACTATTTAACCTATACCGAAAATTAAAATCTAGTTGGATATTAGAAAAAGTGTCTTAAAGGAAATACTAAATTAATGGTTAATAACATTTGGAATTTGAAAATAAAATTCTTTTCATTAAAAAAAGTAATTTTTCTTTAAATCAAGTAAACAATTTGTAAAGTCCCATATGAATTCTTTTCTTTCCATATCTTTTAAAAAATAACTATTTCAGGATACATAACAAATTTTATCTAACTTATAATATAAGTTTCTAATGATGATAGTACTGAAAAAAACGCTTGCCACGTGGCAAGTCAAGTAAAAAAAAAATAATGACTTAAGTCAGTGTGTTCCAAACTGTGGGGCGCGCCCCCCTAGGGGGGGGGGCGAGACTGTTGCAGGGGGGGCACGCAGCTGATTCCAAAATATCATTTTCGAATACAAACCAAAAAAGTCGAATAGGTGTCAAAAAAATTAATCAGAAAAACGGTTATACGTAATCCACAATCCTCGCCGCGAATTTCTCGGGTATAAATGCTAAAAAATCCATCCATACTCTTGCTGGAACGAAAACATCTTGCTTTCCCGTTTGGAGCCGAGCGCGAGGAAACACTAGACAAGCACTCGGATCATCCCGGGTATTCTCGGGGTTACTCCCGCCAAACTTCAGTAAACAGAAGCAGGCAGCAGGCCCCGACAAGGCTTATGAGCCAAGGCCGTCGTTAATTCGACGACGTTAGCGCTCATTACATCTGGTGTGGAACTATCATCAATTGCGCGCGACTGCGGGGTTTTTCAAACTCGGACGACGCGACTACACCTGGATGCGTGCGCCCAGACGAGAGCAGACACGCGGCATTTCGTTAAGAAACGTTGGTTAAACTCGACCGTTTCCACGCAGATTGTCTACAAACTCGCTTTGGTACACTTCTAAATTAATATTGAGGTAAATTTCAAAACTGTTATAAAGTATTTTTATTTGATTTAAAATAATAACCCTTTTAGATGGATAAATACGTAACTGGGTTGAAAAGAAAATTGAATGAAGCAGAAGCAGACGGCAAAAGAAGAGGTAACGAAAATAGCGGAACATCTTCGCAAAATAGTAAACCTAAATGTAGAAAATATGATCCAATGTACTTATCATTTGGATTTACATGTAAAGTCATTAATGGCCAAGAACGACCAATGTGTTTGCTGTGTCTGAATACTTTGGCCTCAGACAGCATGAAACCAAATAAATTAAAACGGCATCTCGAAAACGTACATGCAGATCACGTTGGCAAGACAATAGAATTTTTCCAAAGAAAATTGGAGAATTTAAATAAACAAAAAGAAATGTTTTCAAAGACCATGTCTGTTACACAAAAAGCATTGCTTGCGTCTTATAAGGTTTCTTATAGAATTGCTAAATGCAAAAAACCCCATGTAATAGGAGAAACTTTAGTGCTACCTGCAGCTATTGACATGGTAGCTACGATGCTAGGTGAATCATATGCTGATCAACTTAAAATCATTCCACTTGCAGATAATACGGTGGGAAGACGAATATCCGATATATCTGAAGATCTTTGCGATCAATTAATAGAAAAAGTAAAACTATCTTCTTTCGCGTTGCAAGTAGATGAGGCTACAGATGTTCTTAAGGATGCACACTTGATTACATATGTAAGATATGTTGTGGAAACTGATGTTAGAGAAGACATGTTATTCTGTAAACCTATTGAAGGCAATACTACAGCAAGTGAAGTTTTTAATATGATTGATAAATTTTTCAATGAATATAACATTCTGTGGGAGAACTGTGTTGGACTATGCACAGATGGAGCTCCATCTATGGCAGGAAAAAACGCTGGTCTACAGGCACTAGTTCGAAAGGTGGCTCCTCGGGCAAGTTGGACGCATTGCATGATTCATAGACAATCACTTGTTTCAAGAGATATGGGTGAAGATTTACTAACAGTATTTCAAGTTATTATAAGAGTTGTAAATTTTATCAAAAATAGCCCATTAAGAGGAAGGCTTTTCGCAAAATTGTGTAATGACATGGGTTCAGAATATACATCACTTCTATATTATTGTGAGGCACGTTGGCTTTCTCGTTCCAAAGTACTTCAAAGGGTGTTTGAGCTAAAAGAAGAGATCGCCATATTCCTTACTGATAATAATAGAGATGAAGCAAACTTGTTTTATGACACGAAATTCCTTGTAAAACTTGCGTATTTAGTGGATATTTTTCAAAGACTCAGTACTTTAAATAAATCAATGCAAGGGCCTCAAATTCATGCTTTTGTCCAGAAAGACAAGGTTACTGCATTTATGAGAAAATTGGAACTGTGGATAATAAGTTTGAAAAATAATAACTTTGACATGTTTCCCACTTTTAAAATTACCTGTCTTGCAGATGAAATAGAAGAAAGTAAAGTTCTTATTAATAAACACTTGACCAGTTTAAGGGAGCAATTCTCGTTTTACTTTAAAGATCTTGACATGTCCAAATATGAATGGATTAGAAACCCGTTTGTGATTGAAAAATATGATGATTTTGGCCTTACGACAGCAGAGCAGGAAATGATAATTGACTTATCTAGTGACAGCACATTAAAGCAGATGTTTCAACACGAAAATAATATTGTCACGTTTTGGTTACGAGTAAAGGACGAGTTTCCTACTTTAACAAATAAAGCTTTAGAAATTTTATTGCCCTTTGTAACATCTTACTTATGTGAAACTGGGTTTTCTGCAGTAGCTGTCTTAAAGACAAAGTATCGATCTTGCTTAAAGATTGAAAAGGAACTGAGAACCGCGATATCTTCAATGATACCACGGTTTGACAAAATTTGTGCTGAAAAACAAGCTCACCCTTCACATTAAATTTTTATAATGTTGTATTAATGTTGAATTCTATTTTTTGTACTTTTGTAAGATTTGTTTTTATTACATTATATTATTATTTCTTAAAATAGATAATTATTTTTTATGTATTTTTATACATAATATTGTATATTATTTTGTAGCCCATTAAATAAATTACAATATCAGATAAGTGTTTATGAGATTGGATTGTTAGAAAAATTAAGGGGGGCACAAAATTTTTTTTTCCAAAGAGGGGGGCGCAGGTACAAAAAGTTTGGAAAGAACTGACTTAAGTAATCAATTAAGCAACCGGTCACTTTCTTCCATTTTTTTTTTTAATTGTTTAATGATAAAATGACATCAACGCAGAAGGAAGCTGAAAAATAGAATTTTCATCAAAATAACCAATTTCTCTCCATTCGGAACTTTGACCCTTCGGAAACCATCAATTCATGATGGAAAGATTAATGTAGAAGAAGATTTCGTTAACTATTCACATATTTCAAAGATGTAATATATTCAAATATATACATACCCAAATATTTTTAAATTAATTTATTTAAACTATGAATGCTTAGCTAAATTTTACAGCATATTTATCTTATTTTTATTGTTGAAATAACGTTTTATAGCTGTAGATCATTTCTAATATTAATTATTTTTTAAAAAATGGAATTTAGTCCAAGCAAGAAAAAGTTTGCATAAAGTGGCTTTTAAATAAAAAGAAACAATCGATATCGGTCACCTAATCATTAGGTTCGAGGAAATAGTGGCTACTAAGTTATTAGAGTCTACCAGCGACTATTCCATTGACCAGGAAAAATTTAAATTTTATGTTTTACTTGTTGGATCACTCATAAACATTTTAAAGAAAATACTATTTTGTAATTTTTGTAATTTAGAATAGGATTGTGATAAATAAAAACACATTAGTATCACTCAAAACCAAAAGGAAAACATACAAGTCTTTGGATAATATTCTAAAACGACATAAGAAGTGCAGAAGCCGGCATAGCCTGGTTGGTAGGACGCTGGACTCTCGTTCGCGTGAACGGGAGTTCAAATCCAGCAAGCTGAAGATTCTCCATGTAGTAAATGTGGTGCCCGCTTAATCAATCGGGTCAGAATGTCCTCCATGTTCCCATAACAAATTATACATCTGGGGGTACTGAAATATAAATTAATCATTCTCTGGTTCAGGTCAAAATTACGATTTGTGGATGAATGAATGCTTCCGCCCTATTAACGAGTGCAACGTATGGATGCGGCAGAAGTCGAATTCTAAGCCATAGATGGCGCCACTGGAAAATGAGAACTATCACCCCCTTGCCTTAATGGCCTACGACAACAACAGCAACTTGTTGCATTATTTATAAACCTATTTTAAGGAAAATACTAAGTTTAAAATATAATTTGGTTAATTTTTGTCATTTAAAATAGGATTCTGTTTTAGAAAAACATATTACTGTCACAGGAAACATAAAGGAAAACAAACAAGTCTTTGGATGAGGAAGCAAAACTAATTTAAATTGAAAATATGCCCTTTAAAGCCTAATCTTATTATCGACAAATGTAGAACAATATAGTCTATGTGTAATCATCTATTAGGAGTGAATGTAGACAATAGCCATGGGGACAAAATTTCCATATTGTGTCACAATATTTGCATTAGTATCTTCCTGTTCAATTATTTATTAAGAAATAATATTTTTTTTTTTTATAAATGCATTTTCCACGTTTAAATTACTTCATTTTATTAGGATATTTCAATGAAGTCTATTAAATATTAGTTCAATCAATTTTTTACAATAAATTTAATTTTCCAGACATTTTTATTAATCCAAACTTAGTTTTTTTAAACAGCTCTGAAAACTTGAAGTTATTTTAATAGAGATTTTAGAAACCACTCTTTTTCATAGAATTTTTTTTTCTTAAATAAAGAAAAAAATGAAGAAAAAAGTTTTATTATTTGGTTTGTTCCATTTTACTTTCTAATCATATTTCAGTGCAACTTTTAATTTAATTTTGAAATTTAATCCAAATATATTTTCAATCATTTTTACAAGCACGTTCAAATATTCTTCTCAAACTTTGTGCTGTAGGAACGACAAAATTTAATTAAAATATCACTCAGATTTTAGAAGAAAACACATTTTTTAATAAATGTGATATGTTCTTTTTTCCTTTAGATATTAAATAGCATGTGCTGCATAAATATGTGTGTGTTCGAAATTAAATTTCAAAAAAATAGTTCAAAATTTTATCCTATTTCTACAATTTTCTTTAAAAGAAATTACAAAATAGAAGAATCGGTGAAAATTAAAAATTTCTGAATATCAATCTGCCTATATCAGTTTTTATGTATTATTTAAGTTCTTTTAAATCCATCCTTTACATATATTATTGTCTGCAAACTTGATCATTATAAATATTATAAGGTGATAAGTTTAAAGTAACTCACAACTGCAAGGAAATATTTTTAAAATATTTAAATCTTTCTTAAAAGTCAATTCAGAATTATCACACGGCAAAAAATCTGGATCAAATTACTGTAAAAATAATTCTCACATTTAATACCACATCCGTAAAGACTATTTTACTGTAAAATCTATTTTTATCGTAAAATTTTATACGGCATGTTTTACATTAATACTTATTTAATTACAGTGAATTTTATGTAATTTTTTTTCTGCGATTTGATCCGGAATTTTTTACAGCGTGCGCACTGACTATATTGATGAGCGTTTTAGAATGTTCATTTATTCATAATTATATTATTTCATTAGGCATAGGCATAAGTTGAAACAACATAATCATTCAACATAGTTGAACATAAATCAATCAACATAGTTGAAACAACATAACATTGAGTTGCGATGGCTCAAGGGATAAAGCTTTCGTTTTCCAATTAGATGAACCGGGTATGGGTCCCAGCAATGGCTGGGTGATGCAAATCAGCATCCGGCTTTCACAGACCACAGTGCTGACGTAAAATATCCTCAATGGTAGACGGATCATGGGTTAGAGTTCTCTTGTCGTCAGACTAAACATGGGAGGTTTACGTAGTTTTCTTATCAATGTAACGCAAGTGCGAGTTAGTTCCATCAAAAACTCATTAACGAAGGCAAATTTCTCCCAACACTTGGTCTTGGAGTTCCCTTGTCTTCTGGATTGGGTTCAAAATTACAAGACTACGGAGTTGAACATTAGTGGTCGTAAACAAATAATTGGATTGGCTCTTCAATGAAGGTTATAAAAAATTCTAAGTCTAATGCAGCATCTATAGTCAAAAAAAATAAAAACATACATGATTGTTTAATTACTGCAATACAATATTTGCGAATTATAAAGTTTACTTTTGTGTTAAATTTAATTCTTCGCAGTGACTTATAAGACTATTAAGTTCAATACACAACACCAAAACATCGCAAAATGCTATCATGAGCAATATTCAAAAAGAATGATAGAAACTTAGAATTGCAGAAAAATGTTTTAATTATCAAATACATTACAGCAATTATCTCACAACTTACCATGAAGTTAATTAAATGCAATAAAATATTAATGTATAATTTACTTATTCAATTATCAAAAAATTTATGTACACAAGAAAATTAAAATGTGCAAAGAAAAAAGAAGAAGTTAAAAAGGAAATTAAAGTACCATGAGTCTAATAACTTTTTTCTAATTCAATTTTTATTAAAGAACCAAGTTACATACGAAAACGTCGCCTACCTTATAAACATATTCCTTTTTTTTCATACTTTTCTAGAGGATTGATGCTAATTCAGGCAATTTAGACTAAATTTAAAAATTTTAAAAAATATACAACTATTTCATTAAATTGAATCTGTTAATGAATAACAATGTTTTTACTGGTATTGTTTAAATGAGCAATGCATCATTATATTCATGTAAAGTTTTGGTTGAAAAAAAAAACTATTAGATTAATTTAGATTAATTTTATATACACTGAACGAAACTCCGGATCAAATTACGGTATAGAGTACTAGCAATTTGAGACATAAATCAATTTTCATGGTCAAGATAGCCTGGCTGGCAGGGCGTTGGACTTACATTTGTGAAAACTAGAGTTCGAATCCTGCCGGCCGAAGACTCCCCATTTAAAAATTGGTAACTAATGCAAGTTAAATTTGTCGAGTCACAAAGTCCGCTGTGTTCCCATAACAAATCATTACCTCAGGGGGTACAAAATTGGAGATTGATCGTTCTCTGGTTCAGGTCAAAATTACGATCTGTGGACAAATGAATGGATGTATGAATGGGTCCGTCCTATAAACGGGTGAAACGTATACGTGTGCAGGAAGTTAAATTCTTGGCCGAAGGTGGCGCCACTGGAAAACAAGAACAATCACGTTCCCTCTGCCATAATGTCCAATGACAACAACAAGATAAATTTTCACTCTAAAATTGCGTACTATAATTTTTAGAGTAGCATATATTTAATTAGAGGGATTCAGTTATTTTGAAGTAATTATTACTGTAAAAATTACGGTATAACAGTTTTTTGTCCCGTAACATGTTCCTGTAAAAATTGATTTCTCCGTAAAAAGTACAAGCATCCTCAGTGCAAGTGCTTTCTACCGTAGTTTGTTGCGGAACTTCTTACAATGTAGAAGACACAACAAAAATTGTATGTAGTTAGGTAAATGCTTGCTTGGAAATTCATTATTATATTTACAACTATTATTATATTTTATATCAGATGCTAAAATAAATAAAATGAAAGAAAGAGCGACCAATGCATATACAGTACGATTATAAAAAATCTCTTTGTGGTAGATGAATCCTGATTTTTCAGATGCAGGACAAATAGCACAAATGATAATTCTAATCAAAAATAAAAGTCTGGAAAAAAATTCCAGACTAATATAATACTTTTTCCAATTATTTGTTTCAAAATAATAGGGGCTTAGTGTATGTGTATCAATATTTAAGTAGCTTAAAAAATTATTCATTTTCGTTTTGCAAACTTCTCTTAAAAATAATTTACTTCA